TGACTGAAACCAGTTCGGAGTATGCATACGCATCATTGTTGTATTCTTCATTGATATCTGTCTCTTCGCTCATCTGGAAATAATCCGCGTAGGCCTCATCTTCGTTTTCTGAGTCTGTGTTGGCTTGGAACATATTTATTGTTACCAAGTTTGAACTCATGGTTGTCCTGCGAATAGCATCTTCAAAGGTTTCGGTTCCTATCTGCCAGATGTATGTTCCATCTTTGTGAGTCAATCGGCCATACTCATCCTTCGTGATGTGACCCTTCTCAACTCGTTCATTTATCATGAAACATTGCCTCAACATGTGGTCATCTTTTCCGCAGCCAAAACAATACATATTATGCAGAGTATCCCTGCTTGGGTGTCTTTCCATTCTAGAATTGTTACAGGAAAGGGGATTTTCTGGCCCCAGGGTTTGTTTGGCTGGTGGAGCCACTATGTTGGCTATGGCTGCATCTCGTTTAAGGGCTCAATAATAAATTTGTGCGTAGTCTGAGTCACTTATCTTCATTTTGGCTAGCTTATCAACTAACTCCTCTACTTCATCTGTGTTTCGAGACTCAGGTGCTTTCCCTTTTTTGGGTATAACCTTGCCTTGTTCTTTCAGGGTTTCTTTCCATCCTGTTCTGGTTTCTTTCTTCTTCTTGGCCCGAGGCTCTTCTTCCATTTCAGATTCGCTGGAGCTAGACTTACTAGAGGTCTCATCACTGCTAGCTTTCTTGTGGCTGGTGCATTTGCTTTTCTTCGTCTTGGTTAAGGGTTTATGATGCTTTGCCCCTTTCTTTTTACGAGTCTTCCTATGCTTGCTATCAGATTCTGAGTCTGATGTACTTGTCGAGTCCTTGCTGGAGCCAGTCTCCATGTCTTCATCTCCTGACATCGACATTTTTAGAAGCTCTTCTAGCTTTGCTCGCCTATCTTTTGACTTCTTGGCCGTCAGATCAGCATCAAATTGGTTGCGAGTAAACATACTATACACAATTTTTGCCATGTCTTCGCAAGTTATCACTCTTCGAGGATCATAGCATGGATGTGACGTCAAATATCTCGCCTCCACTATCTTGCATAGGTTACCGTTGAGTCCATACCAGAATTTCATATGCTGCTCATCCAAGGTGATCTTCCCTTTGTGCAGCAACCAATTCACCATGGTAAGAAATTCCACTTCATATCGTTTAAATCGTGTCAGGTTATAAATTCCTTTCTTTCTCCAGCACTCGACCAGTTTGTCCAGGTCACTAAGGAGATAATGAGATTCATGTAGTTCTGTGTCGTAGTAGGTAAGGATATCCTTTTCTAGTTGATCCCAATCCTCGTTGACGAAGCTATCCAAGGCTTCAATAAACCATGTTACTCTCGAAGAGCAATAATCAATGATTCATCGGCACTTGTCCCTATCAGGTATGTTATACATGGCACACATTTGTTTGTATTGTCTGATAAACCTTTTTACCGTGTCATATTTTCCCTGAAACTTTGCAGGTGCTGTTTTTGCTCCAAGAAGTGGCATCATGTCTGGTGTCCTAGTAGTGGATGTCCCAGAGGTGGCTGTAGGATTTGGTATATGGTGAGAGGCAGTATTTCTCTGATTTTGGGCTGTACGCTGATGTGTATTTGCCGTAGATCCAAAGGTGCCCATTGTAGGCATGGATGATTGTTCTCGTGGCCTTGGGGAGGTATTTGTATACATTCTGTGAGCAGATTCTCCTGAGTCAGCTGAGCCGCTGTTCCTGTGAGGATATCCGTGTCATCTCCATGAATGATGCGGTGGACTTGATCTTGGTGGTACATAATTTGATGAAGAAGGAATATGGTCATTACTGGTTGAAGCTTGTGGTTCCAAGTTATGTCCAGACAAGTTGGTCATAGTGTATGGAGTAATGATTAATGTCCATGGTAGTTAGAAATATAGCAGAAGGTTGAATGAAAAAGAGGATGTCTGTTGAGAGTTATATGATGTAATGTGAAGGAATTTAAAGCTTTTCGCCAATATCAATTGATTTCCCCCCTCGCGGTGGGCTCCAATGATGTCAGCGGAAGTTGGGGTTAGATGAATTCCATGCACAGATATAATTCTGTGCGTTGACGTTAGTTCGATGAGGGAGAAGCATGTGTGCTATAGGATTGGCGAATGCTTCATATAGGGTAGAAGAAGTAGGTAATTGTTAGTAGATTTGAGTTCTCTGGATGATGTTCAGAGTATGTAATGGTAGTCAATGTGTATAACATGCGATTGAGCTTTGATTTCGAAGCTCAATATGGTAATGTGAAGATGTGATGGTGTGAAGTGATATGGGTCTGATGGCTGTTCTCAGCAGTGATGGCGTTGATAAGATGGGTCTAGTTGCTGTGTTGTGCGTGAGTGACTTAGTTGTGACTCACATGAGATGTCTGAATAGGTATTCAGAGGTACTCAAGTAAATTTGGATTTAATCTGTAAGTGGGTAAAAAGCTAAGTATTCATTTCTCGTGGGGGTTTATATACTGTAAATTCTAACTACGTGTCAATGACGTGTTGCCATGTGGACTGTTTAGATGATGAGGTATCGCCCTATTCCACTTAAGTCCGATGCCGGTTCGGAGGGAGTAGCGACGAGAGAATTCTAAGTGTATTGTTGTCCCTACGTCTTTTATACTAATGTACAAGATATTTTGGAGCCGTAATAAAGTACAGATAATTGGAGGATAAGAGAAATGAATAGAATGAATCATAGGTACAGTATTCTGAGTCAAGGCTAAGTCATATAAGTACAGAACTAAGTAAATAGAAGTCATAATGAAAATAGTGGAGTCAACAGAAACAGATAAAGACGAGCCAAGGAGATGGGGAGAGTGCATAGGCTTTAGAAGATAATATAGGTAGAAGGCATAGGCTTTAGAGTAAAATAGGGACAAACTGAGGCATCTGTAGGAAGATACAACAATGACGTGTTGCCATGTGCAATGATGTGGCATGGCACTACTCTGCCGGTTTTCTACCGGTCCATTACCGGACCTGACACTGGCTTCAGTGAACATCGACATGACTTTGGCAAGAAACGGAGTGTGGACAACGCCACGGAAACCATCCCATCATTTCAAGGGCGTCAATATTCTGGAATAAGGAAGACCAGGTAACGATGAGGGCAAGACACATCAATTATCTGCTGCCTCGGTTATACACTTACCACTGTTCCAGGGTTGCAGCCGATTGAATGCTTCCTTCCGCATCTCACACCAGTACTTAAAAACTGGCATGAACCATAATTTAGGTGATTGTATTAAAACGGTAAAAATGCAGTCCCCTTGTGCTGCGCGGCATCATGATGAACGGCTGTCTATTTTTTAGACGCGAGGAAAAGGCATAGCATTGGCAAGCTTACGAGGGCATCCAAACGTTCAGAATTCTTCTATCTTTACCATGATGCACAAACTCCGAGCGTTGACCCGTCGGATGCCCTGTGGATGGATACTACAATATGCATCATCCAAGCACGTCACCACTTTGATTCGAATATTGCCGCTCAGGCAATCCTGGGAATTGAAGGCAATGTGAATTCGGCATACGATCAGCTGTTAGATCGGGAGTGAGTAGATGGACCATAGATATCTCGCAGGTCAATACGTATAACTCTTCATAATGTTTTTCTGACCTTCCATCTCCGCAGGAAATTCCATGTATGAAAAGGGGAGAAGCGACACCTTATCATACCATCACTTGGTCACTGTCCTCTTCCTTTCCCTTTATTCCCGTCTCCCTCTCAAGTTTTCTCACCCAGGTGTTCCACGACATTTGATTTGATGAGATCAATTCAATACGTTCAAAGTCCCATGGTTGCTGACAAGATTATCGTATTTGTGACTCGTAATGCTGCTTGAAGCATTGGTCTTCACCCGCCACCATCGACGTTGACGACCAAGGTTAGAAATTTTCCTGGGTTGGAATTTTGCCGTTCGCTAAGTGTTACGTTAAACTCAATACCATTACATCCGATGATTACTTTGTATCCTGAACACATGAAGGTATCTTCGATGCCTCAAGTAATCAACCCATACTAGAACAGTGGCACTTGATTTATAGGTGTAGGGTTTTCGTGGGAGTTGAATTAATTAAATTAATTTGAAGGGAGGAGAGAAGAATTTAAATATTGGACTGCTGAAGGTTCCCCATTCCTCCTGTACTGCTGGAATACTGTCTAAAGACTCAACATTTACTATTGCCAAGACCTCTAATTTTTTTCTTTCGCGCTCCACGTGTAGTACACTGCAAACTCCGAAATTCATGGTTCTGGGACCATTGCGCATGCAAAATCAATCCTCATAGGCCCATACTCTATAAGGACCAGGAAATTTTTCTTACCGCATATAGCGTGACATATCTACACAAATTACATGACGTTATGCACCGATATAAAACAAAGATACCCACTGTCTGAGTGATATTTGCTTTCTTACCCGACAAGGAGGACATGCGTTCCCATTGCAAGTAAGTGATAGAGTTCAGCTCAGCTTACTGTCTTATTACCCGCAAGAAAAACCCGAACTGTGGGCAGCTGCACCCATGATGAGCTGTTTAGTCAGAGATAATTTGACAAAAAGTGATGATTTCTAGCACAAAACACCCCACGGATGAAATAAAGTCTCTGAACATTTAATAATACATGATATACATGCAAAGATACATCCACCAAACATGAGAACCTAAGGTCTCGCAAGCGCGACTGCAGAGACCGCCTCGAAGCTTGCTCACAGAATTAATTAATTCAAACTCCGACTTCCGTATTAGTCTAGGACTTGTTTGCGCATGGTTAGGTCCTAGTTAGGTCCGGTTTGGCCTACACCCATAAATCAACTGCCAGAACAGCCTAGATGCCCAATGTAAGCGAGTCAGTAGCAGGGAGAAAAACATCACACAGACCTTCGCCAGATGGTGTCTTGTCAGAAAAAGTGGTGCTCTAAATCTCCATCTTTCGCCCCTGAGCTCCATATCAGTTATAGGCCTTAATTTTCATTGTTCAGCCGTCGTAGCGCAATGGTAGCGCGTCGCTTTCCTAACCTCAGTTGGTCGTAGGCGAAGGTTGCGAGTTCGATCCTCGTCGTCGGTAGTAACCCGATGCCTGGCGTGACTTTTTAAGGTCTGAGTTTCATTGAGTTCTAACTTTTTAGTTCTAATCTCTCAGTCTCCGGTCTTCAATCCTGACTCCTGACTCCTAACTTTCGGTGCAAACAACTGCCCCCTAACATTAATGATATGAAAGCCTTCCAGTAGCTTCTCTCGTGATCCAAATCTCCGCGATTTCACTGTACTTCCCAACTACTACTGCTGCTACTATTACTTCCCTGTGGACGTCATCCTCCAAGTTCCACATTTTGGCGACTTCCTACATTGATAACACATGTTCGACGACTGTTCATCGGACATTTATTGTTCCTTTTGAAAGCGCTTATCCCATGGAGCGTCTTCTCAATCAGATCCTGATCGATGAATAAGTACTAGGCTTTGCTCCCAAAATTGTCTATTTCCTTACTATGTACGTCTTTAGGTCGTCTCTGAAAGGACTTCCTGATTGCAATCTCATTTTCATCGCTGGTACAGACTTCAAGAGTCGCCATGCCCTTCAGTTATCATTCATAATACTAGGCGCACCTCTTGGGGCAGCATACAGCGAGAGTATCACGTATGGTATCGGACTTATTAATGGCACTCAGGGCCTGGCGGTGGTTATTCATTATTGAAGGTGCACCGACATGCTACCTCGCGGTCATCGTATACTTCTTCTTCTCCTCATGCCCGGAACGAGCAATCCGGCAACCTTCTGAAGATCGAACGATCACTATTTCCAGGATGAAGCAGGAGGCGTCAAATTCGATGCCAAACTGCCAGGTCTGGTTGCGTACTGAGCGCTTTCTCGCATTACGCTTACGACTAAATAACTTCATTGTCGGCGATATCAATATGCAGTTACACTATCCAAGGACTTTGTCCGACACCCAGCTCTCGATTCCTCCTCTTATAGATGATCCTCAAGATTCCGACACCTACGGCACCTACTAACATTACTGCCCCATTCGTAAAATGTCCGGTCGGGTACCCAGGAGCCTCGCTTGACTTGTATATGAATATTCCTGAATATGCGTTCAGCTTCGTGAGCAAAACATAAATGGCGACTGACCTATCATTTGGCCCGACGCTCCAAAAGCCAAATTCACAGGAATAGCCAGTGTTGTCGCGTTAGTATCCCGCAGATTTCCGGTAAGCCATGCTAGTAGCGACGGGTTGCCAGCATAGGAGAACATCGTTCCTAGGCAGAGCATCGCATATCGTGCCTTGAACGATGTTGGTGGTAGCGAACCTGCAGACACACCTCCTTCAGCACCGTTCAGAGCAACCATAACTAGAGGCATACCATGAATAATAAAAGTCAGTCCTGCCAGTACCATCGACACCATCCCGCACATTGACCAGATCCGATACCGATCCGCCACCCAGGACACCGCCACGGTAGCCAAGAACGCCACAGCAAAGGGCGGTACCGTAAATAGCTGAGCATTGAGTCCTTTGTACCCGAGTCCATTCACGATGGTCGGCGTGAATAGCGCTATACTAGAGAACGGCACCGACACAGAGATAAACACGATATAATGCAGATATAATCGCCAATCCTTCAACGCAGCTTTCGCCCCATCCCACGTAATGCTGGCATGTCCTAGAGATTTGGACGACTCCTGGTTCAGCCTGCGGACGGCCAGAAGACGGTCGTCTGATGATAGCCAGGCTGCCCTCTCAGGGTAAGAGGGAAAGAGGAAGAATACAATTATTGCGAGGATACACGATGGTGCACCTTCGATGATGAACAGCCATCGCCAAGCTTGTAGACCTTGAGCACCATTCATGAGCCCTACTCCGTATGCGATGCTACCTCCGAATGCGCCTCCGAGTGGCGCACCCGCGATGACATACGATAAACGGATCGCACGCTCCTGGAGTCGATACCAGCTGCAAGAACATGAATTAGAGATGAAGTAGGAGGAGTAGGAAGCTCGGTAGACGTACAATGTGAGGAAGTATATCATTCCGGGGAAAAAACCTAGAAAACTGTATCAGATTGGAAGTATTGGAGTGGAAGAGCTCTCGGACCTGCCTCGAACGTGCCCAGCAAAAACCGTAGACCAATCAATGTGGAGTAGTTCCGAGATGCGGCTATAATCATATCGGTTGCCCCCCACCCGAGCAAGAGAAAGGCGAACCAATGTGGCGCAGAGAAGTATTTGAGCATGTAGTTCGACGGGGTCTCGAACAGTGCCAATGGGACGATGAACATTGCCAGCACCGTAAGGAATTGCTGATCTGTCATATCTAGAGTCTGGAGGAGGGAGTCGCCACTATCAGCGTTTAGGATCCTGGCATTTCCCTTCAGTGAGATATGAGATTTTCGACATGCTTCAGAGGGGACTACGCACTACGTTAGCTCGAGCCAGGAAGCTGAACAGAGACATCAATATGAATGATGGCATGATACGAAGATCAAGTCGCCTAAGTACTCTAGTAACGATCGCAATTTAGCTGAAATTCCGTTCGGGTAAGGACCGGCGAACATACCTTCTCTCTGCAATGCGATCGACGATGTAGTCATCATCGATGATTATCTCATTATCATCATCGTACTTGTCGACCGAAAAGGTTGGGGATGTAGAGGTCTCAAAAGCAGGACCAGGTTTCAAGCGGACGATTTCCATGGCAGGCGCTAATATTGTGAACGTCGGAGGCTCGACCGCCCTTATATGACCCCGTCAACGGCATATTGAGCAACATGTTTCGTACTGAGGCTGAAGGAGGATAGCAGAAACACCGGGACATTGAGGCTGTCTGATTGCTACTGTTTAAAACTTATGTACAGGCACCACGGTAAGGTGCCGTCACATTCGATGTCCCTTGGACAGGATACATTTCAGAGACCCTATACGGACACTGAGACGCTTTATCTCCTGCCCTTAGACACTTTGCGCTATATGCTATCTTGTACGCCAACAATCATGATATATACATGGTATGGGTTGACGCTCCCGGCAGTTAGGAGGGTAGGTTATAGTAGAGGCGATAAAATAGGCGATCAGCCTGGATTTCCACGAGTCACGACTCCTCTGTTATGCATATGACATACAAAGGCAGTGCGGGGACTTGAGAGAGATAAATGGGCGACGAATATAGAGTGATGGAGAGTCGGCCCATCATGACGCCAGCAACTGTGCGCAAAGGACCAAAATTAACGGATGTATTGAAAGAGATAGCATGTTTTAGCCTATGCCTTTACAGGGTTAGTGAACCTTCTTGAACACAGGTATGGTACAAGCATACTTGTTATGGTGACATTGATCATGTCAGTTGATAGTTGATGGCGCGCGGCACACCAATACCCATCTTTGTACAAGTCGCGGGTATCCCCATATCGGCGAGGGAAAGTATGTATGTCGCGTTCGCGATATGTGCATCGGAACCGGGCGCCGAGCACCGACGCAAGGGCAGACACCAATCCGCCCGCGCGAGGGTAACAGATACTGTACATCGCCCACTCATCGAGTAAGAGGAGATTCGAGAAAAGGAAGACGCACGAGAATAACTCCGACGCACTCTTACATCAAGCGAAAAGACCGATTGGTTAATCAATTCCGAGTTGAAGGAGAGTGTGTTTCGATGTTTGGTCGTAAGTGAGAAGAGCGAAACGAAGGCACAGGGAGGCGCCACGCCCAGCTCTCAGATTGGCCGCAGGAATAACTTCCAAGGTGTCCAGTCGGCGGCAATGTCAAAAAGCGCATACGTAGTCCCCCATTGTTGATTTTGACGTCGCCGCTGTTTAACTGGTGATATTTAGTCAGAGAGTCGTAGTATTGAGGTTACGTACTTATTCCGCTGGTCTCTGGGGCTTGGAGAGAAATTGCTTGCTGAAACCGGGTATACTGCCAGGATGTCTGGATATCCAGTATGCCCACTTACGGATAGTGAGTGAAGAGCAGAAAGGAGAGGTCTTCATTGTTACTGGCAGGCTCGAGAACTGTATTATATGTAAGCCCGCAGAATCACTGCCAACATCGTGGTCGCACCTCTTTCGCCTAAACTTGATCCACAGCTGTCGAGCGGGAACAGAACATCCTGTTGTGGCATCAGCAGATTTAATCCACAGTTACTGAAGTGCTGGCCCTCTACTTACATCAAGCCCTTATTTTCTTGCGACAAATTCAAGGGTGTAAGTATTCGAAGCTCAATTAAGGTAAGAAATATTTCAAATTCAGGCCAGTAAATTACATTATAAATAAATAAATCAACTTTCCGAAAGGGGACGCTGACCAATCTACGGCGGCTTCGTGGCGGATCACAGCATCTGTCAAGCCTCTTTGATTCTCTGAGTCTGATGCAATTCACGCTCTGTCATCAATTCGAGTACAAAGGGACGAAGCTGACGTTTCTCTCAAGCTCCTCCTTACCACAGGAACGAATCGGAGACCCGACAACTGCCGCTCCTGCCCGTCATTGCCCTCTTTGCTGCTCCAGCGCATGTAAAAATCGGTCGAAAAATCCCGATTCAATCCTGTCCTTCTTGAAATACTCCATGAGAAGACCACCACTTATCCCCACGTCTTTTCTCAGCGGACCTGCATCTATTTCTCGGTTTTGTCTCTGATACTCGTGTAGATGTTTCACGCACCTTTGGGTCGACAACTAGCTTTACAATGCTGCAGGCATGTGAAAGGAAACCAAGCATTGAAATATACTCTGTTATTCATAGAATCGTATGAAAGGTAAGACCTGATTGAGATTAACGAACTATTCCTAGCAGGGTGGTCTGTTGCAGGCGTGGTGACAGCAGCATCGAAAAACAAAGGTCAGTATATTTTATCTCATAAGTACGATGAGCATAAATGACAGGTATCAATTCATGTCCCAGAGCACACACTGCACAGGCCACATAATACGTGGAACACGTATAATATCTTCTACACACCTGAACGAGTTCGGACACACGTCCATCAACGCAGAGGTGTCTGTAGTATAAGAGTGCGAGTTATCGAGGAACATTCCTTCACGCTCAGCATGCCGTCTCGTACCACG